TCAGAGTTTTGAATCACCATTAGATGACTAGGCTAACAACCTTGAGGTAATATAATGTGGGTTTTAAAAGCTTTGTTTAAACTATACATTCTAACAGAGGGGATTCATTGGTCTCAGGCAATTAATCACAGGTTCAATGCCAGATACTGTATATACACAGACAAAACAGAGTAATAGCTATCATTTATAAGGATAAATAACATATGGTCCTGGTATATTCAAAGGGAATAATGTCTAATATTTATGGGTGTACAATTAGTGATGGGCAGGGAGACAGATACAAATGACTAACCCACAAGGGAGAACCTAAAAAGGACGATAGAAGAGATAAAAGTCCTGTGCCCTAGGGATGCAGCAGAAAAGGTGCTGGGAGGCTTTAGGGACCAGGTGGCATCTAGGTCAGATCAAGAGATGAATGGATGTCAGTGTGTGTGGGAGGGACCTTCAAGGCTGGAGAAAACAAAGTGAGCCAAACACTGAGCCACAGGAGTACTCCCTGCTCAGATGACAGTGAAGCATTTGTTCTGAGTAAAAAGATGTAATCTAATAAAAGACTGCATAAAACACTGGAAAACCTCACGCAATGAGAGCCTGAAACAATGCTTGTATTTCTTAACAGCAATTCAACAGAGTATCTGAGGTGGCCTGTGGAACGAACGAGAGAGCAAAATATCTTCCCAAAGGCAGAGGCGCCGCATGCTCTTGGTGGAGGTTAAGTAGCCAAGGATCGCACCCGCAAGCCCACCTCCACCCTGAGACCCCAGTCCCTTGGAATCAAATCCACAGCAAAAATCTTCCTTAATGGAAAATCTCTCTCTTCCCAAAATGTAAAATAAAAACAATATAAGCAAACAAAACTGAAAACAAAAAAAGATAATCAGAGCAAGCTTTAGCCTCTCATACTTCACCTATGCCCCAACTGCCATGTTACTGAGAACAGGGTCTGCCCCATTACTTAAATGGATTCCTTATTGCAGAACATGACAAAATTTAGCATATCACTGATCCTACTATGTCCCTCCCTATAAAAAAAAAAAAAAAGTAAACCAACACCACACAAAATATAACCTTACCCTGAATAAAAGTCAGCCTCAACCTAAGGATCCTACTGTAATGTGACTACCCTAACCCAGGAAACCTTAATCCTATTCTGACCTATTCATACAAAAAATCCCCATTCTAAGAGCTTTGGAAGCATTACAAACATGGTTGCATTAGATTCCTCTTCTGAAGTATTCTGAAGTCTTGAAACAGCAAATTTACATATTTTTCTATACTACCACTGAAGGGTAATTATCATAAAAGGCCTACAACCAAAATCCTAATCCCCTGATTCTCAGGCTATTGCAATTTTTTTTTCCCTCAGATCAAATAATAGGAAATACACACAAAAAAATGAAAAGTCATACAAACATAAAAACACAGAATCTATAAGTGTCACCACACTGACAGTCTTAACTGTGCTAAAGAGAAAAAGAATTTGGTTTACTCAAGCTCTGGGCATTTTGTAAAGTACTTAAGACATTAACAGCTTATAAAAATAGTGAAAAAAATTTAGGTGGGAGCATAAAACTAACTCCTTCATTCAAAATCCCAAGTTCACGAGAAGGGATTTGTGGCAAACTGTCTGCACAGGGCGGCCTCAGACACCAGCCCAATCTTGGGCTGATGGCCTTGACCTTTGTGCTCAGGTCAGCTTCTGGGGTGCAGGGATGTTGGCAGATGCCTGCTTGAGGTACACGGAGGAGCCCTGAGGGCTGCTGGCTGGTGTTCTGTGCTGCACATTTGATGCCCTTCAGCCCCTGTTGCCAATGCCTCAGCTTTGTCAAGTGCTTCTGGACAGTGTGTGTTTCTGTTGTAATTCATTCCTTAGTTCTGAGACATCCTCTTTGGTAACTTGCTCTGGTGTCTGGACAAATAATTGCAATCGTTTTCTGTAGGAAAACATTCTGCCTGTGTTGCAATATCCAGAAACTCCTAGATATACTGATCAACACCAGTTTAAATGTTTTCCTGATCAATGCCATTGACATAGTCCTCACTCACCAGAGAAGCTAAGCAAGCCTTGAAAGATGACTCCAACTCATTCACCTGGTACTGTTAGAAGGTCTCAGAGTATCTGGTGCTGCCTGAAGAAGTGAAGCCTGGCCCCGGAGCTCCAGTGTGGGTGGTGGGATCCCTGGTAGCTGCTAAGAGAACATATCACCTAGTGGAGCCACCATGTCTTGAATAGCCTGTATTTCTTTATGATTCAATCTTGTTATATAAAATGCATCTAGGAATTTATTTGTTTCCTCTAGGTTTTCCACTTTGTTAGTGTGTAGTTGCTTATAAGAGTCTCTAATGATCCTTTGCATTTTTGTGGAATCAGTTGTAATGTTTTCTTTTTCATTTCTAATTTTATTTATTTGAGCTTCCTCTTTGTATTGTTGGTTAGTCTGGCTACTGGTTTATTGATTTTATCTTAAAAAAAAATAAAACAAACAAACAAAAAAACCACACAACTTTCCCTGTGATTGTTTCCTTGTAGATTTTGTCTCTATTTTGTTTTATTCTGCTCTGATCTTTATTCTGTCTTCCTTTTACTAATTTGGGGTTTGGTTTTTCTTTCCTTGAGGTGTCTCATTAGGTTATTTGAAGTCTTTCTGCTTTTTGACTCTAGTTATTAATTGTTACAAATTTCCCTCATGGCAATGCTTTTGTTGTATCCCATAGGTTTTGAGATGTGTGTTTCCAACATTTTTTACTTGAAGAAATGTTTTTATTTCCTTCTTAATTTCTTCATTGACCATCATTCAGGAATATGTTAATTTCCATGTATTTGTAGTTTCTAAAGTTCCTCTTGTTATTGATACCTAGTTTTATTCCATTGTTGCCTGAGAAGATACTAGATGTGATTTAAATTTTTTTTTTTTTTTTTTGAGATGGAGTCTCGCTCTATCGCCCACACTGGAGTGCAGTGGCGGATCTTGGCTCACTGCAAGCTCCACCTTGTGGGTTCATGCCATTCTCCTGCCTCAGCCTCCTGAGTAGCTGTGACTACAGGCACCCGCCACCACACCCGGCTAATTTTTTGTATTTTTAGTAGAGACCAGGTTTCACCGTGTTAGCCAGGATGGTCTTGATCTCCTGATCTCGTGATCCACTTGCCTCGGCCTCCCAAAGTGCTGGGGTTACAAGTGTAATCCCAAATATAATTATGTGTTTATATAATTATATATATATATATATGTGTGTGTGTGTGTGCATATGTATTTGTCGAGCTTTCCTGTTGATCATTATATTGTGCATTGCCCATTTAATCAGCACAATCAGTGAAATGACAGTTTCTACTTTGTTGCTCCTATTAGGATGTGTGTTTTTTTTTTAGAATGTTAGAAATGTTGCAGAAACTAATTCAACCTTTTTTTTTTTTTTTTTTTTTTTTTTTTGCTTTTTTTAGACAAGGTCTCACTCTGTTGCCCAGACTTGAGTGCAGTGGTGTGGTCACAGCTCACTGCAGCCTCAACTTCCCAGCCTCAGGTGATCCTCCCATCTAAGCCTCCCAAGTAGCTTGGACTACAGGCATGTGCCACCACACCTGGCTAGTTTTTTGTAGAGATGGGATTTTGCCACTTTAGCCAGGCTGGTCTTGAACTCCTGCACTCAAGCGATCCACTCAACTTGGCATCAGAAAGTGTTGGGATTATAGGCATGAACCACTGTGTCTAATCTCTAATTCAACTGTTTTACTTCACTTCTCCATATGCACATTCTACCAGTGCACTAACTTCATGTTGAGTAAGAAACAGGGAAAAAGTAGCTATGAGTTGCCTTATGTTTCCAATCCCATCTGTGTGATCATTTTCCTGCTCAAAAGGAACTTGAGCAGGAAATGGGTTGACCAGGTTCCTTGGCTGTTTATGCTAAGATGTTGTCTTCTGAATTCAAATCAAATTCTGGGTCCAAATGGACAGTGGTGTCTCTTGGGGCTGTCAGTGTCCCTGATTACTCAGATGTAAATGTGTTTAATATGGAAGAGAAGCACAGAATTCTGGTGAACCCACAATGTATAGTGAAACTCAAAATGAGTATGAGGATAGTTATGGAAGTTGAAGGACAAGCATCACAAATACCGTTTACAAAAGGATAGGCATATTGCATGTATCTTCCCTGTGCTGGACAGGGGTTGTGTACAGCTATGTAGGGCACATGTGCATTAAGCTGGCCTTAATTGTGAAGGTTCTCTGGTAATGAATGGTGGAAATGCTATTCATAAGGAAGGATGGGCCATTTCTACACACTCAGATGGTCTGTGGCTGGGAGCATGGCAGAGGCAATCTTGGGCATCCATGGAGATATTCCTGTTTCATTTTTCAGGATCCCAGATTTTCCTCACAAAGGGTCTGACCTCTACAAAATAGACATGCATTGGCTAAGCATTCCAACATCTGTAGAGCTCTGCCACAAGGCCTTCAGCCCACATATTTGGGCAATGATTCTGCCTTCTATCCAAGAAGATAAAGGCCTCGTAAGCACTCACCAAGGAGTCCTGGTTTACTTAACCACTGTTTGCTAATGGCTGAATGACGTCTTCAATTTCTCAAGGTCCTTCTGCAGGTGGTAATGCAGATCAGCGATAATCAGTCTACTCCGCTCTTTGTAGGCACTTTCCCTACATTTTCCAAGGCCTGCATCATCACACATGCCACAGCATTCTCTATCATTGAAGCATTTTCTCAGGAAATCACCTGTGAAATATTTTGCAGCTAACCACCTACCTGTGCCCCACTAGCCAACCTGCTTTACTCCTGCCAGGCAGGTGAGTGGTCCCCAGATCCCTATTTTACCACCTGTTTTGTCAGACTGTTCTTGGTATCGCTATGTTGGAGGGAGTTCTCTGCAAAGACCAAGATGGGAGTGCACGTACAGAGATTTTATTTCAAGATATGATTGTGAGAGAATGATGAGGGGAGCAGTTACTTAGTCTATTTGAGCTGTTATAACAAAATACCACTGGCTAGGAAATGTATAAAGAGGACTTTATTTTCCCAGAGTTCTGGAGGCGAAGTTCATCATCAAAATATCAGTAGGTTCAATTGTCTGTTGAGGGCTCATGTCTGTTTCTAAGATGATGCCTTCATGCTGCATCTTTTGGAAGGGAGGAGCATTGTGTCCTCACAGAGCAGAAAATAGAAGGGCCACAGGACAAACTCCCTCTATCAAGCCTTTTCATAAGGGCACCTGATCCCATTCACAAAAACTCTATCTTCATGACTTGACTTAATCACTTCCCAAAGGTCCCACTTCCTAATACTGTCACACTGTTTCAACAGTAAACAGTTTATGTAGCGTTTCAACATAAATTAAGGACATTCAAACCAAGGAAGGCTGGGAGGGCAGCCAGAGGGAAGGAAAGTGCAAGAAGAGGTTTGGTGGTGTCCTAGATTGCCTGCAGTCCAAGGAGGTTGGGGAGATTGTAACAGACCTCCCTTGGTATCCCTGCTCTGCAGTCACTGGCTAAGAGCAGTCCTTAGAAAGCACAGCCTGGCACAAATACAAGAACATGTGCTCAGTAGGAAAGAGACCATATTTCCCCAATAGCCCAGATAATGCCCTCCCCTCAACTGGCATCTCTGTTCCTTAAACATTGACCTCTTTTCTCCGAATCTCTTGGGGACACATGGGTTGAATTCAGGTTCTCTGTGGCCCTCTGGATTCTGTCTGCCTTTGTTATATCTTCACAAACAAGTTATGCAGCCTCAACTGAAGCTTGTAACAAAGCAAAGTTACTCTCCTGTGTGTGTCCTCTGATGGCTGGTGAGATATGGCTTCAAGATGAAGCCTCACCCACACTCCCTGTACAAAAACCCTTCTCACGTAAGTGTCTCTTTAAGTGCTTACTGTAGTATGACTTATTGCTAAACTTTCGTCCACACTCTTGGCATTCATAAGGCCTCTCTCCTGTGTGTATTCTTTCATGCACAGTGAGGTCTGACTTACTGGTATAGCCTCGCTTACACTCCTGGCACACAAAAGGCTTCTCCTTTGAGTGTATCCGCCAGTGGTGTCTGGTGAGACTTCTCTTCCAGCTGAAGCCTTGTCCACACACATTACACACGAAGGGCTTCTCCCCTGAGTGTGTCCTCTGGTGTGTGAGGAGATTTCCCTTCCAGTTGAAGCCTCGCCCACACTCCTTGCATACAAAAGGCTGCTTGCCAGAATGTGCAAGCTGGTGTTTCACAAGGTTTGACTTCCAGATAAATCCTTGCCCACATTCACTACAGATGAAAGGCTTCTCCCCCGAGTGTGTCTTCTGGTGGAAGAGGAGAGTTGACTTTAGGATGAAGCCTCGCCCACAATCCTTGCAATTAAATGGCCTTTCCCCTGAGTGTGTCCACTGATGTCTAAGAAGATTTGCCTTCAAACTAAAACTTTTCTCACACTGCTTGCACATGAAGGGTTTCTCTCCTGAGTGTGTCCTCTGATGTATGGTGAGATTTGGCTTCAAGGTAAAGCCTCGCCCACAATCCCTGCAGAAAAAACGTTTCTCTCCCAAGTGTGCCCTCAGGTGCTTGTTATACGAGGACTTATCCCGAAACCTTCGCCCACACTCCCGACATCCATAAGGCTTCTCCTCTGAGTGTGTCCTCTGGTGTAATGTGAAGGTTGACTTTTGGATAAAGCCTCGTCCACAGTCCTTGCACACAAAAGGTTTCTCCTCTGAGTGTGTGATCTGATGTTTCACGAGAGTTGACTTCTGAATAAACCCTTGCCCACATTCTCTACAAACGAAAGGTTTCTCCCCTGAGTGTGTTCTCTGGTGGTAGATGAGAGTTGACTTTTGGCTAAAGCTTCGCTCACAATCCTTGCACACAAAAGGCTTCTCCCCTGAGTGTGTTCTCTGGTGTCTGAGGAGACTTCCTTTCACGCTAAAACTTTGCTCACACTGCCTGCACGCGAAGGGCTTCTCCCCTGAGTGTGTCCTCTGGTGTGTGATGAGGTGTGACTTATTGCTAAAGCCTCGGCCACACTCCTGGCATCTGTAAGGCTTCTCTCCTGAGTGTATTCTCTTGTGCACAACGAAGTATGACTTATTAGTATAGCCTCGCCCACACTCCTTGCACACAAAAGGCTTCTCCCCTGAATGTGCCTTCAAGTGCTTGTTGTATGAGGACTTATCATTAAACCTTCGCCCACACTCCTGGCATTCATAAGGCTTCTCTCCTGTGTGTGTTCTCTCATGCACAGTGAGGTATGACTTACTGGTGTAGCCTCGTCCACACACCTTGCACAGAAAAGGCTTCTCTCCTGAGTGTGTCCTCTGGTGTCTGAGGAGATTTGCCTTGAGGCTGAAGCCTCGCCCACACTCACTGCATACATAGGACTTCTCTCCTGTGTGTGTCTTCTGGTGCAAGAGCAATGCTGACTCATTTCTAAAGCCCTGGTGACACTCCCTGCATGTAAAAAGTTTCTGCCTGGAATGTGCTTTTTTGTGTATGATTACTATCGTCTTCTGGCTTAAGTCTTGCCCACGCTCTGCACACCTGAATGCTCCCCATCTTGAATTTTCTATTCCTTTCAATACTTTGTCTATTTCTGTAGGATTTTCCCTCTGGCCTTGACTAGACTCTATTTCCACTACGCTGTTCCTCCTCCTTGAGCTTACTGCATGTCTTAGGGGTGGGCTGGAAAATGCCATGGGCTTAGAGCTTTTTTCTTTCTCTTGACCTTCAGCTGTGTCACTCTGGAAGCTTTGATCAGAAAATTGTAGTTGCTGTTGCCTCTGATGTGCAAGTCCAAGATTCTTGGGCCGCAGGACATGTTCTGCATATATTCCTGGAGAACAGACCAACAATGAGACTGAATCAGTAATGAAAGGTCTTCTATCAAAGAAAAACCTAGGACCCAATTGCTTTACCGCTTAATTCTAGTAAACTCATAAAGAACAACAAACATCAATTCTTCTCAAACTATTCCAAAAACCTGAAGCGGGGCGGGGAGGAATTCTTCCTAACTCATTCTACAAGACCAGCATTATCCTGATACCAAAAACAGACAAGAACACAACAAAAACAGAGAACTACAGGCCAATATCCCTGATGACGCTAAATGGAAAAATCCTCAACAAAATACTAGCAAACCCAATCCAGTAACACAGAAAAGATAATACACCATGACCAAATGAGATTTATCCCAGGTATGCAATCATGATTCAACATACACAAATCAATACTTGTGATACATCACATCAACAGAGTGAAGGACCAAAAGACATATGATCATCTCAACAGATACAGAAAAGGATTTGATATAATTCAAAATCCCATTATGATAAATACTTTTGTTTTTTTGAGACAGGGTCTCACTCTGTTGCCCAGGCTGGAGTACAGTGGCATGATCATGGTTCACTGCAGCCTCGACCTCCCAGGCTTACACGATCCTCTCACCTTAACTTCCCGAATAGCTGAACTCCAGGTGCCTGCCTGTAGTCAAGCCATAGGTGCCACTGCCTGGCTAATTTTTGTATTTTTTGTAGAGAGGGGATTTCGCCATGTTGTCCAGGAAAAGTACTCCAAAACTTGTCGGATATATGATTACATGAGCTTTCCTACATCATCTGTATAATTTCTAATTTTTCTGATCACTCAGATAATGAGAGTTAAGTTTGCTGATTCTGTAAAGTTACAGGGTAACTTACAATGGTGTTATTTTGGCACTACCCACATACACCCCATCTTCTCATACCTGCACTGAACCAGCTTTGTCATTCTGCCAGTAACCTCACTTATGAGTTAAATAAAATCCTAACATGTACTCCCATTACATTAAACATTCACACTTTCAGAAGTCAGTGGTAGACAAGAAGCCTTTTATTTTAATTAACTGACAGACAAATCAGCAAGCAATTAATATGGGGGCGAGAGAAGGGAGTTGATAATGGACTGAACGTTAGCATCCCCCCTAAATTCATATGTTGATGCCTTAACCTCCAATGTGATGGTATTTGGAGGTGGAGTTGTTGGGAGATAAACAGGTTTAGTTGAGATCATGGGGTGACTATGAGAGGACACAGCAAGAAGGTGGCAGCCTGCGAGCCAGGATGGGGACCCTCACAATGAAGCAAAGGTGCCAGCACCTTCATCTTGGAATTCCCAGATTCTAGAACTGTAAGAAATAAATGTCTGTTGTTTAAGCCTCCCAGTCTATGATATTTTGTCATGTCTATGATATTTGAGATGACTAAGAAAGGAGTCTCTTCCCACCTATGCAAACTGAGGGAGTGGCACCGATCATAAATCCAAAAGCAGAGACCTCATACCCATGAAAACTCACACCGGCTCCAAATTTCTCAGTGGATGCCCCCACATTTTTTATGGGGTGGTGGGAAGCAAGGAATGGGAAAGAACTCCACAGTCTGTATGAACCTGCTTTTTTGGGAAACAACAGGACAAAGTCAACAACAATAACCATAAAAAAAAAATCAACCTGCTAATTTTCTGACAGAGAGTATACTGTGTAATTCCACTTACAAGAAGTTCTAAGATAGGTGAAATTAAGGCATATTGAACAAAATCCAAATAGTGATTTTCTCTGGTGGATGTGGGGGCAGGAAATGACTGGAAAAAGGCATAAGAGTACTTCTGGGGTGAAAGTAATTGTTATGTGTTGTCATAGGGGTCCAGATTACATAAAGTTATGCATATGTCAAAGCTCACTGAATGTTACACTTAAGATTTATGCATCTTACATAAGTCCTAAGAAGAACCACAAAGAAACATTGTAATATTACTTATTGATATGCATGCTGAAGTGTTTATCAGTAAAGGATAATGATGTCTCCAATATTAAAGAGCATCAAAAGGAAGATGGACTTATGGATGGAGAGAGCAATGTACAGCTGGATAAGTAAGTGATAAAGAATATGGAGCACAGAGCTAAATGCTGACTGTAGGTGGTAGACTGACAGGTGTTCATTCTATAAGCCTTTCAACTTTTTAGTATCCACCAAAATATAATTGTTTAACATTTGCTTCACAAAAAAATGCTGGAAGAAAGAAAGTATTATAGGATGTAAACTCAAAATATACATGCCATGAAATAAGGAAAGTTAAATGAGCATTACAGTCACCAAAAAATCTTAAGAACTAATATTAACATTAAATGAAATAGATAATAATATAGTAACTATTATTATGTTTTACAGATGAAATATGATGACCAGGATTTGCTTCAAAATAATCCAGGAATGGGAGATGAGGGTGAAAGTACAGAGGACACAAGATTCCCTGTAAGCCAATAAAATTATAATAATTCTAACCTTGCATGTATTTAATAGTAGGCTAAAATATATAAAGTAAGTCCTACAAAACTTAGTAGATATAGAACAATCCACTATGAATATAGAAGATGTAAAAACCATCTTTTCAAGTATTGGATAGTTCAAACTGCCCTCCCTAAAAAAAATCTGTAAAGACACAGAAGAGTTAAGCAACAACAACAAAAATCTTTATGTATAATTGGCCAAGCATGGTGGCTCACGTCTGTAATCCCAGCACTTTGGGAGGACGAGGCGGGTGGATCACCTGAGGTCAGGAGTTCAAAACCAGCCTGGCCAACATGATGAAACCCATCTCTAGTAAAAATACAAAAAAAATTAACCAGGGGTGGTGGTGAGCACATGTAATCCCAGCTACTCAGAAAGCTAAGACAAGAGAATTGCTTGAACCTGGGAGGCGGAGGTTCCAGGGAGCCAAGATCGCGTCACTGCACTCCAGTCTGGGTTACAAGAGTGAAACTCCGTCTCAAAACAAAACAAAACAAAACTTTATATCTTTAAATCTTTGTATCTTTATGAACTTGATCTACGAAGAGTTTCTTAAACAAGACATAAAAGAGACTTCTAAGTACTTGAGGAGAACTGCAGCTAAGTAAGGGTAAATCTGTCCACACATTCACTAAATAGGATATAAAGGTCAATAGAAACAGATGACCCTGAAACTGACACAAAACAAGACAGAGAAAACTAAATTTATCGTTGTCATAAGCAGAAAACCTAACATCACTTTTTAGCAGTCTCCTGTGGTCCCACTGTGAGGAGTGAGGGAAGCCGTAAAATAGCATGAAAAGAGAAGAGAGGAACACAGGGCCTAACTGTGAACTAAAACTGCTCCAAGAGAGAACAAGTCCACCCTAGAGGAAAGAATCATCATCATCATCGTCGTCGAGGCAAGAATCATCATCATCATCATCATCATGAGTCCTGATAATCATCATCATCATCATCATGAGTCCTGATCATCATCATCATCATCATGAGTCGTGATCATCATCATCATCATGAGTCCTGATCATCATCATCAAGTCCTGATCATCATCATCATCATCATGAGTCCCGATCATCATCATCATCATCATCATCATCATCATGAGTCCTGATCATCATCATCCATCATCATCATCTATCATGAGTCCTGATCATCATCATCATCATATGATCATCATCATCATCATGAGTCCGGATCATCATCGTCATCATGAGTCCTGATCATCATCATCATCATGATCATCATCATCATGAGTCCTGATCATCATCATCATGAGTCCTGATCATCATCATCATCATCATCATGAGTCCTGACATTCATCATCATCATCATCATCATGAGTCCTGATCATCATCATCATCATGAGTCCTGATCATCATCATCATCATCATGAGTCCTGATCATCATCATCATCATCATGAGTCCTGATCATCATCATCATCATGAGTCCTGATCATCATCATCATCATCATGAGTCCTGATCATCATCATCATCATCATGAGTCCTGATCATCATCATCATCATCATGAGTCCTGATCATCATCATCATCATCATCATCATGAGTCCTGATCATCATCATCATCATCATCATGAGTCCTGATCATCATCATCATCATCATGAGTCCTGATCATCATCATCATGAGTCCTGATCATCATCATCATCATCGAGTCCTGATCATCATCATCATCATCATGAGTCCTGATCATCATCATCATCATGAGTCCTGATCATCATCATCATCATGAGTCCTGATCATCATCATCATCATCATCATGAGTCCTGATCATCATCATCATCATCATGAGTCCTGATCATCATCATCATCATCATGAGTCCTGATCATCATCATCATCATGAGTCCTGATCATCATCATCATGAGTCCTGATCATCATCATCATCATGAGTCCTGATCATCATCCATCATCATCATCAGTCCTGATCATCATCATCATCATCATCATGAGTCCTGATCATCATCATCATGAGTCCTGATCATCATCATCATGAGTCCTGATCATCATCATCAGTCCTGATCATCATCATCATGAGTCCTGATCATCATCATCATGAGTCCTGATCATCATCATCATCATCATGAGTCCTGATCATCATCATCATCATCATGAGTCCTGATCATCATCATCATCATGAGTCCTGATCATCATCATCATCATGAGTCCTGATCATCATCATCATCATCATGAGTCCTGATCATCATCATCATCATCATGAGTCCTGATCATCATCATCATCATCATGAGTCCTGATCATCATCATCATGAGTCCTGATCATCATCATCATGAGTCCTGATCATCATCATCATCAGTCCTGATCATCATCATCGAGTCCTGATCATCATAATCATCATCATGAGTCTTGATCATCATCCTCATCATGAGTCCTGATCATCATCATCATCATCATGAGTCCTGATCATCATCATCATCATCATCATGAGTCCTGATCATCATCATCATCGAGTCCTGATCATCATCATCATCATGAGTCCTGATCATCATCATCATCATGAGTCCTGATCATCATCATCATCATCATCATGAGTCCTGATCATCATCATCATCATCATGAGTCCTGATCATCATCATCATCATGAGTCCTGATCATCATCATCATGAGTCCTGATCATCATCATCATCATCATGAGTCCTGACATTCATCATCATCATCATGAGTCCTGATTCATCATCATATCCTATCATCATCATCATCATGAGTCCTGATCATCATCATCATATGAGTCCTGATCATCATCATCATCATGAGTCCTGATCATCATCATCATCATGAGTCCTCATCATCATCATGAGTCCTGATCATCATCATGAGTCCTGATCATCATCATCATCAGTCCTGATCATCATCATCATGAGTCCTGATCATCATCATGAGTCCTGATCATCATCATCATCATGAGTCCTGATCATCATCATCATGAGTCCTGATCATCATCATCATCATCATGAGTCCTGATCATCATCATCATCATGAGTCCTGATCATCATCATCATCATCATCATGAGTCCTGATCATCATCATCATCATCATCATGAGTCCTGATCATCATCATCATCATGAGTCCTGATCATCATCATCATCGAGTCCTGATCATCATCATGAGTCCTGATCATCATCATCATCATGAGTCCTGATCATCATCACCATGAGTCATCATCATCATCATGAGTCCTGATCATCATCATCATCATCATGAGTCCTGATCATCATCATCATCATGAGTCCTGATCATCATCATCATCATCATGAGTCCTGATCATCATCATCATCATGAGTCCTGATCATCATCATCATCATCATGAGTCCTGATCATCATCATCATCATCATCATGAGTCCTGATCATCATCATCATCATCATGAGTCCTGATCATCATCATCATGTCTGATCATCATCATCATCATGAGTCCTGATCATCATCATCATCATCATGAGTCCTGATCATCATCATCATCATCATCATGAGTCCTGATCATCATCATCATCATCATGAGTCCTGATCATCATCATCATCATCATGAGTCCTGATCATCATCATCATCATCATGAGTCCTGATCATCATCATCATCCTCATCATCAGGACTCATGAGTCCTGATCATCATCATCATCATGAGTCCTGATCATCATAATCATCATCATCATCATCATCATCAGGAGTCCTGATCATCATCATCATCATCATCATCAGGAGTCCTGATCATCATCATCATCATCATCATGAGTCCTGATCATCATCATCATGAGTCCTGATGATCATCATCATCATGAGTCCTGATCATCATTATCATCATCATGAGTCCTGATCATCATCATCATCATGAGTCCTGATGATCATCATCATCATGAGTCCTGATCATCATCATCATGAGTCCTGATCATCATCATCATGAGTCCTGATGATCATCATCATCATCAGTCCTGATCATCATTATCATCATGAGTCCTGATCATCATCATCATCATGGGTCCTGATCATCATCATGGGTCCTGTTCATCATCATCATGAGTCCTCATCATCATCATGAGTCCTGATCATCATCATCATCATCATCATGAGTCCTGATCATCATCATCATCATCATGAGTCCTGATCATCATCATCATCATCATGAGTCCTGATCATCATCATCATCATCATCGAGTCCTGATCATCATCATCATCATGAGTCCTGATCATCATCGAGTCCTGATCATCATCATCATCATCATGAGTCCTGATCATCATCATCATCATGAGTCCTGATCATCATCATCATGAGTCCTGATGATCATCATCATCATGAGTCCTGATCATCATCATCATCATCATGAGTCCTGATCATCATCATCATGAGTCCTGATCATCATCATCATGAGTCCTGATCATCATCATCATCATCATGAGTCCTGATCATCATCATCATCATCATCATCATCATCATCGAGTCCTGATCATCATCATCATCGAGTCCTGATCATCATCATCATCATGAGTCCTGATCATCATCATCATCATGAGTCCTGATCATCATCATCATCATCATGAGTCCTGATCATCATCATCATCATCATGAGTCCTGATCATCATCATCATCATGAGTCCTGATCATCATCATCATCATCATGAGTCCTGATCATCATCATCATCATGAGTCCTGATCATCATCATCATGAGTCCTGATCATCATCATCATCATGAGTCCTGATCATCATCATCATCATGAGTCCTGATCATCATCATCATCATCATGAGTCCTGATCATCATCATCATGAGTCCTGATCATCATCATCGAGTCCTGATCATCATCATCATGAGTCCTGATCATCATCATCATCATCATGAGTCCTGATCATCATCATCATCATCTGATCATCATCATCATGAGTCCTGATCATCATCATCATCATGAGTCCTGATCATCATCATCATCATCATGAGTCCTGATCATCATCATCGATCATCATCATGAGTCCTGATCATCATCATCATGATCTGATCATCATCATCATGAGTCCTGATCATCATCATATCATCATCATGAGTCCTGATCATCATCATCATCATCCTGATCATCATCTCATCATCATGAGTCCTGATCATCATCATCATCATCATGAGTCCTGATCATCATCATCATTCATCATCCTGATCATCATCATC